ATAAACTATATCTATGTAATACAAATAATTCAATGAATCACAAAATAGGTAATAATAATGGTCTAAATGCTCATTAAAATTAGTTTGTGATACAGGTCATTTTCTCTAAAGATTTTAAGTACTCCTGTGCAGAATGTGGCAACATTGTATGTTGTAATAGGGTTGATATATGAAAGCAGCAGAGGGTATAAAATTGTCTTGTGCACCCCAAGTATTTTTGAAATAATGGCTAATTCAAATGTAGTATAGGCACTGGAGAAGTAACTGTTGTTCCAGAGATGTTCTTTCAAGAGGAACTGGACTTTCTGGTTTTTCTTTGAAGGCATTTCGCTTCTCATCCAAGAAGCTTCTTCAGCTCTGGATGAGAAGTCTTCGAAGAAAAACAAGAAAGTCCAGTTACCTCTTGAAAAACACCTTTGGGACAACCATGACCTGGATGACTGAGAATCTCCATANAGAACAGAATAACCACATGTCTGAGGTAGCAGAGCCACAATCGTCAGCTTCTGAAACAAAGGTTCGTTTCAGATAGTATGATTTTGAGCATGATAGTACTGATTGCTGTATTACCTGTTTTTCTTCAGTTTGCTGCCTTCCTTTGCTGCCACAGTGGCACTACTGGAAGATTGTTGAGTTTTCAGCTACCGTTTATCATTTTTTCCAAAACTTTAACAGCTCAAAAAGAACAAGGGTGTTTGTGATGCTGCATGCCTGCTTCTCCCAGGATAAAAAAGGAGCTACAAACATTTCAGTGAATCAAAGCTTTATATATCATCCCTAACATAGAATCCATCCAACCATTTAGTCTTTCTTTGGCTTCTTAACCCTACACTTCTACACTTTTCTGTAGTGGGGTCAGAAACTAAACAAAAAGAAAAAAAGATAACGCCATTAAATCCCATACAACTTTTGATCCTGCTGAGTATTAACTTCACCTTCAGCCTTGTTTCCTTATAGTGCCAATGGCCTCTCAGCTGATGGCAAGATTAGAAAAAAAAGCAACCCATTTCTACCACTAAACTGGTTAACAACCTGATGTATTTTTAAATGCAGAAGCAATTTTTAATTCTCACAACCACCCCTTTAACCTAAGTGAATTTAGATCATATGTAGGAGCAGATTATAAGTAGTCCTTGGTTTATGGCCACAATTGATCCCAACATTTCTGTTGTTTTAAGAGCAAAAAGAGCAAGAAAGACAAATCTGTAGGTCACTGAATACTTGTGAGCCAAATAATGGAATTGTTCCCATTTCTGTTATTTTCTGTTTGTTTCCCAACTGTTGCATATAGCTTTAATAAACATACACATCTACAAAAACAATGAGTCTGTCTGAAAACACAGTAAAATAATTTAGTTCCCAAACTAATCAACTAAAGAGCATAACCCCTCCATTATAGGAACTGCTTTCTGAATAATTCATCTCCAGCAATGAACTGAATCTACTGGTTTCTTTTTTTAAACAAGTTGCCAGCAATTAACACTGGGAGCCTAAAATGTACAGAGCGCCCAATTACTTTATTCTGCATGTCAGGTTAACCAGGCAATAGTGAACTCTCTGTAATGTTCACTCTTTGGCAAATTGCCATACAACCTCCCCCCCTCCCCTTCTCTATAGAGAGAGACAGACACAGAGAGAAGGCTGTATTGGTAATTATGTGAACATATTACAGACAGGATATAAAAACCCTGTTATTCTATGACATTTCAGTGGAATGGTTTGTCTTCAGAAGCTGTGGGTGCTCCATTACTGTAAGTTTTTAAGAAGAGATGGGACAAGCCACCTAGCCACCTGTCTGAAATGGGTCTCCTGCTTGAGCAGGGGATTGGACCAGAAAACCTCCCAGGACCCTTCAAACTCTGTCATTTTGTTATTTAGCTCTGTGAATACAGATTCTTTCAAGCCAGAATGAAATGTATGCAGTATGGAGTTTGAGAGAACAAGAAAGTAGTTGTAAGCTTTTGTTTAAATGGTCTGCAGCTCCAATTACTGTAGCACTAAAACAAGCCAACACAAGGCAAAAGGTTTCAAATCATAAAATAGTCAAATCAGTAAAAAAAAGATCATTATTATTCAGAATGTGATAAAGACAGTTGGAAGCATCCTATAGTGAAATTTATGATCTTCCAGTTTTCTGTATCCTGAACCTTCTCTAGCTTTCTAGGTAGCCATGAACGTGCTGGTGAAGGAAATGTTCGCTCAGTACATCTGGAGAACCCCAAACTAGGGGAGTCTATCTGTAATTTCCTCTATTCTGTGTTGAAATTTCAAGTTATTATCTTATTCTATTGTACCAGAGAGTCGGAAGTTTATGCCTTTTCTTTCATTTCCCCTTTTTCCTACATTTTTCCCTTCCCTATTCCCTCCTATCTTTCCTACTGTTTTCTTTTGTACTTTTGTATCTTATAATATTAACAAACAAACAAACAAACAAAGAGCAAAAAAAAAAAAGGGGGGGGAGATCCAAACCTGGAAATAAAGAGGAATTTCCTTACAGTGAGAACTGTAAAGCAGTGAAACATTTTGCCTCCAGGAGTTATGTGTGCTCCATTATGGAGATTTTCAAGAAAAGATTGGACAATCTGTCTGAGATGGTATGAGGAGCCCTGCCTTCTGAGTTGGACTAGAAGTCCCTTCCACCTGAGGATTCTATTATTTGTGCTTTGTGCCACAATGATTGTGCTTCTTGTGAGCAGACAGCTTCCAACATGTAAGGTAGGGACCACCAAGAGTCAGCCACCAGGTTGTCCAGCCATTCTTGGTTCAAAGTGAGCTGTCCTAGATTCAAAATGTGGCCATTGTTTCCCTGATTGCCAAGAGAATGAGTTTGCTTGCACCAGCCAGTGCAGCTGCCCATTCTTGTTTCATACAGTAAAATACTAATACCTATCTTGGTTATGGCAGCATGAAGGCTAAGTATAGCCATCTCAGATGCCAAAAAAATGGTAGTAGGGGGAGAAAGTCATGCTTCTCCTGACCTCCTGTAGCATAGTCAGGCCTTCAACACTTCACAAAAGGCCAGCAAGGTCTTTTAGCAAGATATTAAGCAATGAACACTCAGTATTACCCTTTAGTTGCAATCCTGTTGGAAAATCCAAGATGTCTTGCTTAAATTGTAAATAAAACTGAATAAAGCAATTAATAAAGGCAAAATATCTTCTGGTCAGCATTTATTCTGGACATTATTTTCAGCCCTGAATCATGATGTGAATTTCTGAGATTGTTGCTCATGGATCATACTGTAATGCTGAGACTGAATCTCATTAGAAACCAATGTAGCAAAGAGGATTCAATAGTTTCCCTAGCCAATTACTTTGCTGAAGGCCAAAGGCTCATCTTCTTGGGGTTCTCCTGGATTTTTTTGGTATGGGGTCTTTCCAGAAGAGCTCGGCATCAAGTCAAGCTCTTGCATGTGGCAGAAATTTCCCATCCCAACCCTGAACCAAAGGCAATCCTCTCCCACCCAATAATCCAGACTGCAGAAATGAAGAACCCAGAAACAGCTGGAATTGACTTTTTCTTTTTTGGACAGGAGCTTCCTATGACTTCTAATACAGTAATATATATGTTGCATTAATTAATAAAAATGTAATATGGAACCGTAGGTAGAGGAAAAATATCAAAAGATCCAACGTTTAGAGTGAAAATATTAAAATTAACCAAGAACCTGATAAAAATGACCAATATGCCACCAAACTTTTAATTAATAAATTAAAAATGGGGGTTGAATTACAATATTGCAATATACATTCATTTTTTAAATCAACTTTATATCCTCCCAGATCACTATCAGGAGACTCTGCATGACTTACAACTTCATCAAAAAGCAAAATAAAACAAGAACAGTGGGTGATGGAAGCTCATCGGAAAGCCAACCCTGAAAATGAGGAATTTCCTTATAGTGAAATCAAATAAAACAGTGGAACAGCTTGCCTCCTGGAGTTGTGTGTGCTCCATTTTCAGGAAAATATTGGGCAATCATTCATCTGAGATGGTATGAAGAACCCTGCCTTTGGAGTTGGAGTCCCTTCTACCTGAGGATTCTGATTCCATCTGCTTTGTGCCACAATGATTGCACTTTTTTTAAACAGATAGCTTCCAACATGAAAGGCAGAGGCCAGAGGCCAGCAAGAGAGTCAGCCACAGGGTTGCCCAGTCATTTCTAGTCCAACATGATCTGCCCTCCTTGTGTAGGTTCAAAATGTAGTCATTGTTGTGAGTTAGTCTTTAAAGCCACCATCCTATGCACAGCTGCCCATTCTTGCTTCGTGGATTGAAATGCCAACATTTAGCTTAGTTCTGACAGCACAAAGGCTTTTCGGAGTAAGTGTGGCCATTTCAGATGCCAAGAAACTGGTAGTAGGGAAAAAGACATGTTCCCAACTCTTCTGATTGGCTCATGTCTATTTCTCTCCTCTTCACAGAACCTCTAGAAATCTCTCAGGTGCTCATTCCTTTTCTATTGTATGAATACAAATGTAGAAGACCTGTGCTTCCTAACAGGTACCACAACCTTCTCCTTAAACCCTGGGCATGGTGGAGCACCATTGATGGACAGCAGGGCCTGTAAGAACCTCTGCCCAAGAGAACTTCCTGTCCACGAGGAGCTTGCAGATGGACAGGCTGACTGGCCAGTCTTAGAAAGGAGAGGCTGAGCTAGATGGAGGTTCTTTACATGCCACCTTCTTCCTTTGGTCAGGACTGCCAGCACAAGAACAGGATGAGCAGCTCATGGAAAAATATCTTCATTTCCAGGGGTAAGGATGGTTTTGCAACATGGCCAGTGGAGGTTTAGGCCTCAAAACCAGGTAAGGGAAGGGAGGAATTCACACATGGGGGGACCCGGCGTGCCAAGAAAATCCTCTAGATTCATGAAAATACTGAGAATCTGTCAGCCAAATTTTCCATGTTCTGCTGTCTATTTATCCTCTGGAATGCAACCCCTCCCTCCTGGGAATCTAGATAATGCCCTACCACATGCAGAAAACTTTGATTTATACCTTCAAATGAATAGTTGTTACTTTCAGGTTTTCATGGGTGTTCGTCCCACCACCTGGAATCCAAGATTGGAAGATGTGACATCTGTTCAATATTTGTGGAGGTATGTATTCTCAGCTGAGGAATTCCCAAGAAGGCGGCTGCCCTAAAGAGAAATGCTAGAAGAAATATTTGCAGAAGGGAGGCATCTCTACCTCTACTTTTGCTTTTGCTAAAGGAAGAATGAAACCCCATTGGCAGGCCAGGTGGTAGGCCTCTTTAAGGCCTCTTAAAGCACCAAATGTCCACTCTTGAAAAAAGGCCCATGGCTAGTTTTGATCTTTGGCCCTTCATTCTCTTCACAGAAATGAGAGGAGTGGATTTTCAATGGAGTGGAGTGGATTTTGGAGACCTCCAATGAGTTATTAAAGTCTTATCACTCCTCACCATGGCAATAGCAGAACCCCTTCCTCTGCAGATTTGTCAATATGCCACAGACTCTTTGTTTTATTATTTCAGGATTCACAGGAGGAATTCCTACCTTTGGATAAGGCTAACAACCAGAGACACGTGCAGCAAGAATGGAGTCCCTGTCTGTCAAAGTAGGTAGCATCTCAGAGGGTGAAGACTCCAGCTTGTTCACAAGGGGCTTGCAGGGTAGATAAAGATGAACAGGCTAAGTGGCTCATCTTGGAAAGGAGGCTGAGCTTAAACATTTCACTTTCTTCCTCTAGACAGGACTGAAATGGCAGAGGACAGGGCGGAGAAAGAGAACTCTCCTAATGGGGACTCAACTCTTACCTCAGAGGTAAGAAAGGTTTGGCAATGTGGCCAATGGAGTCTATTGCAAAAGTCCTGATTAGGGAGGGGAGAAATTGTGCTATATAGCCTCCTAAACTTAAGGCTTCCAAATGCTCTCTTGCTGTTGGCACTGTGGCTGAATGCACCTTATGGTTTAGCCATCTTATTGGGATGCCGAGAGCTTTGTATTTAGCCTCAATACCATCATTTGCAGAATTCAATGGAGTCCAGCGGGCCTCCAGGATTAGCAGCCTTGAGGATATGGACTCCATAATTTCTGACATTTGGGATGAAGCGGCAGAGGAAAGCTGGGAGAAGGCCATAGAGGCCAATCTCTTCCAGTCCATCGGTAAGAAAGACAATGTTTTCTCTTGGGGAGGGATGGAGGCCCTCTATTCACTTCTCCTAACCTGAATGAACTGTGCTGGAGTACTCTTTGAATGGAATCTAAACATAGGCAGCCAAGCTCTTGTGTGCCAAGAAGCACGGAATGGCCCACTGTAGTGAACTAATGTGCTAAATGGATGTGACCCAGCCTGCTTATGCCTTTTCTTTTTCTGTGTCACCATCTCCAGCACCTTGCTGCTTTGGGGCAGGGCTTTAACAGGGAAAGAATAGAGAGCATACTTTTCTGGGGGATGCGTAGGGTGGGAGTGGGGATTCCTCCATCTCCAGAAAGAAACCAAAGCCTAACTTTGATCAAGCATCCCCATTCAATAGGCCCTCTTTTAGGAATTCTGAGTTTCTGTTGGTCTGATGGCTAAAGAGGAATCATTGTCATTCACAGGATTCTCCCGAAGAAGCAGAAGGCCCGAGACTATCTCAGCAGCCTGAAAGATGTGCACCCAAGCTCTGTGCGATTGGTTCATTTACCGCAGAGCAGCATCAGTGGCTCATCTTGGAAAGAGGAGAATGAGCTAGCTTGATTCCTTAAACATTTCATCTTCCTCTGGACAGTACGGATATGTCAGAAGCTTTGGAACCGGAGCCCTCTCCCTCTCTCAATGGGGAGAAACCTTCTTCAGAGGTAAGGTTTTGGCAATGGGGCCAATGGAGGCTATGCCACAAGTCCTGATATGGGAGGGGGAAATTGTGCAATATATCTTCCTAGCCTTAAGTCTTCCAAAGGTCCTCTTTCTCTTGGCACTGAGGGGCTGAATGCAGCCTATGATTTAGCCATCTTGTTGAGATGCAGAGAATCTTGGATTTAGCCTTCATTTGCAAGATTCCATGAAAGTCCTGGTTGGCTCCAGAAGCAGCAGCCTGAAGGACGTGGACTCCCTTGATGAGCTTCTGGATGAGGTCTCAAACGGAAGCTGAGAGGAGGCCGCGGTGTTTTCCGATGCCAGTGATTCTTCCAGTCCATGGGTAAGAAAGTGTTTTCTCTTGGGAAGGGATGGAGGCCTTCTATTCACTTCTCCTAACCTTAGTGAACTGTGCTGGAATGCTCTGGGTGCTGAAGCAAGTTGACACCTGACCCTTAGGACAACATGGCCTTAGGCTAAATATATGCAGTCAAGCTCTGGTGCGATTGGTTAATTTACCGCATAGCAGCCTCAGTGGCACATCTTGGAAAAAGGAGGCTGAGCTTAAACCTTTTACTTTCTTCCTCTGGACAGGACTGAAATGGCAGAGGACAAAGCCAAGGAAGAAGAGAACTCGCCTAATGGGGATTCAACTCAAAAGTAAGAAAGGTGTGACAATGTGGCCAATGGAATCTATGCCATAAGTCCTGATTGGGGAGAAGAGAAATTGTGCTATATATCCTGCTAAACTTAAGGCTTCCAAATGCTCTCTTGCTGTTAGTACCAGGGCTAAATGTACCCTATGCTTAGCCATCTTGTTGGGATACAGAGAGCTTTATTTGATTCGATGGAAGTCCAATGGGATTCCAGGAACAGCTGCCTGCAAGATATGAACTTCAGTTTTTCGATATTTCGGATGTGGAAAGTGGGAAACAGGGGAACTAGGTGGGGAAGTGAGGAGCTAGCCCTAATCCTAATCCTAAAAGTGGGCAACTAACCCTAACCCTAACTTAATCACCAGAGATTGTCAGGAGAAGATTGAAAAATCATTTGTCGGAGATGGCTTGAAGACTAATTCCTTGGGCAGAGGTTTGAACTAGAAGATCTCCATGGTGCAACCCAATGATTCTATGAACAGACACCTTCACATATGACAGGCAGAGAAAAAAGGCCACCAAACCACAACTGCCTATATTTGCTTAATGGATTGAAATGCCAGAATCTAGCTTGGTTATGGCAGCATGAAGATTTTTCGGAGTAAGTATGGCCATCTCAGATGCCAAGAAAAAGGGGTAAAGGTGAAAATCATCCTTCCTGACTCCTGACATTTATCTCTGTTCTCTCTTCACAGAAAGTCTGGAAAAGGTGTTCATTGCTTTCATTTGCACGGACACCCATACAGAGGACCTTCCAGTGCCTCTTGACAGGTACCATGGCCGCCTCCTAAACGCTGGGCATGATCAGACACATTTTATGAGCTGCCTCTCCCCAGGATCACTTCTTATCCACAAGTCTTGAAAGGAAAAATGATAGACAGCCTGACTATCTGGTCTTAGAAAGGGAAGACCGAACTAAATGGATGTTATTGGACATGTCACCTTCTTCTTTTGCTATGGACTGAAGAGGCACAGGAATGGGGTGGGCAGCAGGGCTGCTCTCATCCTGGAAACACATCTTCATTCCCAAGGATAAGGACAGTTTTGTAATATGTGGGGGTTCATGCCTCAAAACCAGATGGGGGAAAGAGAAGAATTCTCATTGTGGGAACCTGGCCAACCTAGCAAATTAAATAAGAGCCCCTTGGATTCCTGGAAAGACCATGAGTTGGAGAGCACAATACTGGGAAATATTAGGGAGGGGCTGTTTTGACCCTCTTACCTGTCGACCACATTTCCCAAATTCTGCAGTCTCTGCCCTCTGGAATGAAGACCTTCTGTTCTGGGAATCCAGACAACATTCTACCACATACAGAGAACTCTTATACCTTAAAATGAACAATTGCCATTTTCAGATTTTGACAGACATTCAGTGGATAGCCCAGAACCCCAGCATGGAAGATATGAAATCCCTGCTCAATTTGACAAGGTATGCACTCTCAGCTAAAGGATTCAAGAAAGTGGCTGCAATAGAACCCTAAAGAAAAAAGGCTAGGAGAAACCTTTGCAGAGGGGCGAATCACTACCCTCTTGATCTACTTTTGATAAAGGAAGAATTACTCAGGGCAAACTTATTGGCAGGCCAACTGCAAGCTTCTTATACCCTCTATGTGGCCACTCTGACAGACGCACCATGGCTAGTTTTGATATTGACCCCTTCAATCTCTCCCCAGAAATGAGAGAAGAGTGGAATGGAGTGGATTTTGGAGACCTCCAATAAGTTATTAAGGTCTTATCAGCTCCTCACCATGGCAATAACAGAAGCCCTTTCTCTGTTGATTTGTCAATATGCCAACAGACCATGGCTAGTTTTGATATTGGCACCTTCAATCTGTGCCAAGAGATGAGAGTGGAGTGGATTTTAGAGACTTCCAATGAGTTATTAAGGTCTTCTCAGCTCCTCACCATGGCAATAGCAGAAGCCCTTTCTCTGTGGATTTGTTAATATGCCAACAGACCATGGCTAGTTTTGATATTGGCCCTTCAATCTCTCCCCAGAAATGAAAGAAGAGTGGAGTGATTTTGGAGACCTCCAATGAGTTGTTATGGTCTTATCAGCTCACCATGGCAATAGCAGAAGCCCTTTCTCTCTGGATTTGCCAATTTCTCCTGTGTGCTGCTTGGGGAATCCAAGCATGGGTTAACTTTGTCCATTAGCCTAGAGACTGAGTTANTTCCTTCCTTCCTTCCTTCCTCCTGCCAGTGCTTAGAATGCAGCATTGCAGGCTAACTCTGCCCACTGACAGGAGTTCATTCCTGCCCTGGTTAAGGTTGACTCAGCCTTCCATCCTCCTGAGGTCGGTAAAATGAGGACCCAGATTGTTGGGGGCAAAGGGCTGACTCTTAGAGAGGGCTGGAAAGCAGTATACAAGCCTAGGTGTTCTTTATATCACTAGCTACTGGTGGTGATATTGCTATGTCCAAGCACAGCTTAATGGATCTCAGATGAACAGAATACCAGCGTTGGAAGGGACCTTGGAGGTCTTCTAGTCCAACCCCTGCTCAGGCAAGAGACCCAATGCCATTTCAGACAAGGGGTTGCCCAACCTCTTCTCAAAAGCCTCCAGTGACGGAGCAAACCAGATCTTCTGAAGGCAAGTTGTTCCACTAATTCATTGTTCTCACTGTCAGGGCATGTATTTTTTTCCTCTCTCCATGTCTTCTCCACCAGGAGCACCGAAGACGATGGAGAGGAAGAATCTACAGCTCCAGGGAACCGCCAAACTCACGACAACTTGTACCGAGTCCATATGCCGAGCCTCTACAGTTGTGGGAGCAGCTACGGGAGCGAAAGTAGCATCCCAGCGGCTGCGCATACCGTCAGCAATGCGCCCGTCACGGAGTACATGTGAGTGGGAGCATCGGGGGATTGCCGCTGAGGTCCCAGCCTCGGAAAGTTGCGTCTAGTTGAAGTTGACCACAATACAGAGCGATGAACCAAATCGGAAGACCCAGATTCCCCCAATCTTAGTATCTCTCTCTCGGTCTAGACCAGGGGGGGGTGTGGGGAAATCAACGGTGGCACCTTTTAAGACCTGTGGACTTCATGCTGGCTGGGGAATTCTGGGAGTTGAAGTCCACAGGTCTTAAAAGTTGAGCACCCCTGATCTAATTTATTCTGGGTTGTTCGCTGCTGTGAGGATCCTCGGAATCAAGGAAACCCCATTTGTGGTTGCCACCGTCCACCGACTTCAGACTCTAGGTTCTTGAATGTAGAAGGTCATGATTTACTGTTGGTATGGCACGCTTTCTTATGGTACAAGGGAACGAGGTGGCGCAGTGGTTAGAGTGCAGCACTGCAGGCCACTTCAGCTGACTGCAGTTCTGCAGGTCGGCTGTTCAAATCTCACCAGGCTCAAGGTTGACTCAGCCTTCCATCCTTCCGAGGTGGGTAAAANCTTATACACTGAATACAGCATTTTTGGCCTCCCGAAACCCCCACCCCACGCATCCCGTTGTTGTAGAAAAGACAGGAAACGCAAGCCAGCTCTTCAGGGAAGGAAATGTTTATTGCGCAGGTTCGGAAACAAGGGCCTGAACAAAGAGTGAAAGTCAGGAAAGTCCTTATATAGTTTATCGCTTTCAGCTAAAGCCATCTGTTAGTTTTGGAAACACCCCTCAAGATTTGTCCCTGAGTTGCAGGAAGTTACAGGAAGGAAGTATATATGGAGCAGCGTAGCTCGTAGTTTGAGGAACAGACAATGTGTCTACTAAACAGATTTACAACCAAGCCAGCAGATAGGTTAAAATAGATACTTTGCTTCAGCAGATTTCTTGTGCAGACTTCCTTCTAACTCGTGTCTAATTGCACCATGTTCTAAAAGCAAACCTTTGCAACTTCTATATATGAACAGTTAAAGCTTAATATCATGAAACCCTAGGTTGGTTCAGGCTTGAGGCCTACTTTGGTTCAGCCTGCCACCTTACTCCCCTCTTTGTGACTCATCGCAAAAATGGACGGGCAGAGGGTTTGGGAGACTTGTAGAGGGCTCCTGGGGGCTGGGGAAGGCAAAACAAAAACGGCCTATTTTTGCTCATTTCCACTACCACCCCAGCCCCCAGGAGCCCTCTACAAGCCACCCAAAGCCTATGCATGTCCTGGTTTTTTTTGCAAAAAATGGGCCGTTTTTTGCTCGTTTTTGCCCCCAGCCCTGCAGGAGCAGTTTGCTGGCTTCTCAAACTCTTTCTTTTCACAAATAAACGAGGCATGCAGAGGGTTTGGAAGGCCTGCAGAGTGCAAAAATGTGTGTGGTTTTTTTTTTAATTTACCTCTTCTAAATCTTGGTGCGTCTTATACTCCCGTACGTCTTATAGTCCGAAAAATACGGTATGCATTTTATGGAAGATTCCCTTTGAACAAGAAGTTATTATTATTTTTTATTTAAAAAAAAACATCCCCGGGTTTATTTCTTTTAATTTCCAGAGTTGTGGTCTTATATCTCGATTTATTCTAGTCTGGTGTACTGACGGTCTCGATACCACCGTCTTCTGCCAGCAGGGAATATCTCCAAAGGGATCGGTTATATTTTATGCCTTCAGTATATTGCAAGAACAAAAAACAAAACAAAAAACCCCAGTCTTTTTTTTTTTAAGGAAAAATATGGTTGGTGTCGTAGAAGAGATTTTAGTGTTGTTAAGAGAAAACAGATGTTTAGATCAGCACTTCAAGCCGTAATTAGAAATACATTGGAGTTATTCTGAAACTTTTTGATTTCATAAAAGCTGAAGCTGCTGGCTTTTTAGAGCAAATTCCTTTTTTTGGGAAAGGGGTGGAATATCTATTCTTCTGGCTATGCATATGGTGGTAGTAGTGATGGAATCTGTTACTACAGGTGTTTGGACACCTCTAATACAACCTATTCAAAGCATCGTAGTCCCTTACGGCAGATTTTTTTTCTACTCTTCTCCTTTGGCAAAATAAAAAAAATAAATCCTAATTCTCAGAAGATTGGAAAGGAGCCATTGTGGCCTTCAAGGGACCCCCAGCAGTGTTATGCTCTAGGGTTCCACCACAAAACCGCGTTCGAGTAAAGCGCGCTCGACAAAACCGCGTAGCTGACGTCATCACAGGGCGACA